AGGATGTGTATGAGCAGGGTATTATTTTTGTAACTGAGTAGAAAAAGGTACAAAGTTCCAAATACTGCCAGTCACACCCTGTCGATCATGGTTGATTGATTCCCTACTGTTGGCCTTGTGAGCTCATGCGCTCTTTCCCTGGGTCCTCCCGTGTCAGACGCCCCTCACAGGAGGAGACAGGGTGAGTGGGTGTGGAGGAGGGTGGGAGGCCTGGCGCTGGACTCCCATACTGTCTGCTGGCAGGTTGCAGGCTGGGAGACGAGTGTGGGTGTTCTCCCTGAGCACCTGCTCCACACTCTACCTGCAACTCTGCCTGCTTCCAGTCGGGGAGGTGGAAGTACACAGCATAGCTACCATTTATTTAAAAATAGACCTTTCTTGGGCACATATATAACACTGAATACAGAATCTCTGCTGCCAGGCACAGTGCTAAGTGGTTCACTTGCATTATTTTGTTTAATCCTCATCTGAACTTTGAAGGAAAGGGATTATTGTTCCCATTTCATTACCAAGTAAACTGAGGCTCAGAGACATGGCATTACTTGGCCAAGGTCATCCAGCTAGCCAGTGGCAGAGCCAAGATTTGAACCCAGGCCTGTATTACGCCCCTTCCCCAAGCAAGCCAGAACTCTTATTTACTACCCAGAGGAGATGAGTGAAGGGGCAGTGACAGGAGGCCTGTTTGGAGAGGGGCAGATAAGATAGTACAGTAAACACCTATGAGGACAGGCAGCCTGAAGAAGTGAGGTTTATTCGGTGCCTTCCTACATTTGAGCAGGGACTATCACACAAGGGTCGAGGGTCTCTGGCAATCCCACTACTGCTCCACCCATGAGGGTGGGCTCAAGGCCTTTGCAGATGAGAGACTGGATCACATCTGGGGATTGGGTGGCAGCTAGCCTGTGTGTGGGTATATGCATGTGTGTAGGTGCACATCCATTGTGTGGATCATAGCAAATTATGGGTAACATCGCAAAGAATAGGAGTCCTAGAACACTTCATTGTGCTCATGTGGAACCTGTACATAGACAAAGTGGCAGTTGTTCAAACAGATCAAGGGGAAACTGCATGGTTTTAAATCAGGAAAGGTATGCATCCATTATTGTATCTCTCACCATAGTAATTCAATCTGTATGCTGAGCTAATAATCCAAGAAGCTGGACTATATGAAGAAGAATGTGACATTGGGATTGGAGGAAGACTTACTAACAACCTGCAATATGCAGTTGGCACAACCTTGTTTGCTGAAAGTGAAGAGGACTTGAAGCACTTACTGATGGAGATCAAAGGTTGCAGTCTTCAGTAAGGCTTACACCTTAACATAAAGAAAAAAGAATCATCACAACTGGACCAATAAACAACATAATGATTAATGGAGAAGATATTGAAGTTGTCAAGGATTTCATGTTACTTGGATGCCCAATCAATGCCCCTGGAAACAATAGTCAAATCAAATGACGTGTTGCAGTGGACAAATCTGCTGCAAAAGATCTTTTTAAAGTGTTAAAAAGCAAAGATGTGACTTTGAGGACTGAGATGTGTTTGACCCAAGTTGTGGTATTTTCAGTCACCTATATGCATGCAAAAGCTGGACAATGAATAAGGAAGATCAAAGAATTCGATGCATTTGAATTACTGTGTTGGTGAAGAATACTGAATATACCAAGGACTACCAGAAGAACAAACAAATATGTCTTGGAAGAAGTACAGCTGGCATATTTCTCAGAAGTGAAGATAGCAACACTTTTTCTTGGGTACTTTGGTCATGTTATCAGGAGGGACCAATCCCTGGAGGAAGGACATCATGCTCAGTAAAGTAGAGGGTCATCGACAAAAGAGGAAGAACCGCAACGAGATGGATTGACACAGTGACTGCAACAGTGGCTCAAGCGGAGCAACAATTGTGGGGATGGTGCAGGACTGGGGGTGTTGTATTCTGTTGTGTATGGGGTTGCTATGAGTCAGAGCCAACTCGTTGGCACTTAACAGCAGCACAGCATTGTGATGGTGCCAGGCACTGAGTTAAACCGAAAACGAAACCAAACTTAACTGCCGTTGAGTCTATTCAACTCATAGCCACCCTCCTTGGATTTCTGAGACAGTGTCACTACGGAAGTAGATTGTCCAGTTTTCAGGAGTGGCTGGTGGGTTTGCACCTCCAGCCTTCTGGTTAGCAGTCAGATGCCTTAGGCACTATGCCACCAGAGCTCCCAGGCACCGAGTTAGGTGCTTTAGATGCTTTTTACCCCATTTAATCCATTTAACAACCGAAGAGCTAGGTTCCTACAGAGAAGGAAACTGAAGTTCAAATAAGTAAAGTCATTTGGTCAGGAACGCAGAACAAGTAAGCCAAAGAACTGGGAATCAAACCCAGGCCTGTACCCCTTCTGAACATGCAGACATAACCCCCTGCAGGCTGAGCAGTAAGGGTTGCCATTTAGATACATGCCTGGCCCTCCCTGCAGACTGGGTGCCTAGATTTTGGCCTCCAGCAGCACAGCGGGGACTCGTCCTCCAGGAAGTGCCACCTTGCATCCTCAAGCTGTGGGGTGGGATTTGGCCATATTGCTCTTTGAGGCGTGTGCAAGATCAGGGCCCTGGGGTCACCACCATACCCTGTCCCATCATTTTGCCTCTACCCCAGCCCTGCTGCTGCCCTCTGCTTTACAGGGTAGCCAAGTGGCACCCTTTCTCTCTGCTCACCCTGAGGCAGGCTGTGCTTGGTGTGTCACAGAGCCATGAGAGACGTCATGCCCACCCCCTAGGAGCTTGCATTTGGTAGGAGAGACAGCATGTGTGCATGCCACATCCCATAAGACAAAAAAATGACCAGAAAATGCTGTTAGAAGAGCTGTATGTGTGGTGACAGGGGCAGGCAGGGGACTGAGGTAGCACTGCAGGGGGAGGTGGGCAGGATTCCAGCAGGCCCAGCAGGGAAGGGACGCAGATGCTAGGAGGCACAGGGAGCTTTATTGAGCACCTGTTGTATACCATGGAAGCACTGTCACCCCTGATCCTCACACTGACCCCGCACTCTCAGGGGTGTCATAATCACCGTGTTGCAGATGAGGAAACGGGTGTCAGGATGGTTGGGTAACTAGCCCGTGTGGGTGGTGTAGCCAGCAATCTAGCCCTGGTTGGTCTGAATCCAGAGTTGAATAGGGGAATCTTGGGAAATGAGGTTGGGAAGGTTAATTAACTGTTCCTTAATGAGAAGCTGCTTGTGGTCCTAGTTGGAAGTCAAGCAATAACCCCTCCCCTAAGGAGCTTATAATCTGGGGGAGACAGAAGACAGAAAACAGCTGTTAGAGTCTAATGAAAAGAGGCCATGATAAGAGGAGGCATCCAAGATATGCAGGCATTGGGGAGGAAGAGATGCACTTGGGCCTGATTTCGGAGGGCTGGGTAGGTGCTGGCTAAACAAAGGCAGAGGCAATGCAGGCTATAACAGCATCGTTCGAGGGGAAGGGGTCTCTGTTTCTTCCACAGAGGGACACCCTATGTTGGGTAAAGGAGTGGGGTGGGGGTGGTGTGGGAACCCCGCCTGCTTCCAGTGGCCCCTGTTTGGAGGGAATCCTCCGCCAGCCCTGTGGTGCCTCATGCTAATCAGGCTGCCCCTTTGTCTGGGAGGAGGTGCCTGTTCAGAGTCTAAATGAGCAGGAGTGGCAGCAGTTGTCAAAACAAATGGGGCTTGGCTGGAGGCCCCTTGGAAGCCCCTCTTCCCGCACATGCCTGCGTCCTGGCTGTGAAGTGGGCACTTATGCACCCCTGGCTCTCTGCCTGCCTCTATGCTGGCCCCTGCAAATGGTGGGGTAAAGGGCGGGTGTGGGGTACAGAGGAATCCTAGGAGTAGCAGAGGCTTGGGTTTTTTTCCCAGCCCCTGATGGAGACGTCTGGGCATATCTGTGCTGACTGATGTCTGATAACATGTCCCCTTCTAGCAGGGGGCTGGATGGCTGGTCACCTCCATGAGGCTGAGTGCCCTCCTTATGTCTGTTCTGCCCTTGTTCCTGGTGTTTCTGGAAGCTTAGGCTTCTTGTTCTTGACTCACCTTGCCAGGAAATGCCCTTTCACCTTCCATTGTCTCTGTGCCCTGTGATCCTCAGAAACCTTCTTCTCAGGTAGAACCCTGGCGGGGGTGCCTGCCTCCCAGTTGCTTTCCCACTAAGATACAGCAGAAGGAATTCTCAAGGAATTCTTAAGACCCATGATGGGTCTTAAGGTTTGGAAGGGTGGGGTATGGCATCTTCTCCAGGGAACAGAGAGGCCAGGGCATCTGGCCTGCAAGGAAACCAAACTGTGTGGGGCATGCACAGGTCCAGAGGCTCCTGGTTTCCTGGTATTTCAGAGGAAGTGCTTACTCTTGAGCCTGCCAAAATTCAAGTAGAGACCAAGGAGACTGGTCCCACCTCAAATCTTCAGGAGGCTTTTATTTTCCAACTTTTCGTGTCCTGGGCCATCTTTGGCAGTGATGGGAAAATGGCTGCCTGCGCTCCTTTCCTGAGAAGAGGGGCTGTGGGTGCAAGAAACCAGTGCTGCTGGGCTCTGTGGTGTGCCAGGCTGATGAAGGATCAGATGGGTCCACCCAAGAGAACGGATGCTGACAAGTTTTTCCCCCGCTGTTTCCTCAGTCCAGTGTGAATGAATGAATGAATGAATGAATAGATGACTGACTGGAATCTTTGTCTGGTGCTTGTTGTAGGCTCACTTAAGGCAGCTTCGTGTTGGGGAAGGGCACTTTCTGTTCAGGGGACAGACTTGGGCACAAATTCAGGCTCCGCCACTTAGTACACAGTGCCTCTTCACCCTCAGTTTGCTCATGTCCACCTGTCTGGCTTGCTGTGAAAATTAGAAATCTTGTCTCCCAAGGGAGGCCCTGGGGCCTGGCTGTGAGCGAGTATCCAGGGGTAGCCACTGTTGTTGGGTTGGGGCTGTGCCCAGCAATTTGGATGTGTGGCAGGGGAGCCCTGGCAGCTGAGCTGACTCTTTGGCTTCCGCAGACCTTCACAGCATGGTGCAACTCCCACCTGCGGAAGGCAGGCACACAGATCGAGAACATCGACGAGGACTTCCGCGACGGACTCAAGCTCATGCTGCTCCTGGAGGTCATTTCAGGTGAGGCTCTTCACTGACGCCCTGCCACACAGGTCCCCAGAGACACTGGCCACCCCCCTGCCCGTTGTTGCTGTGAGGAGAGTGAGACCCTTCCCAGCTGCAGTTTGGCTCGGGTGGAGGCCAGAGGACCATGGTGGGCAGCTGGCACCTGGTTCAGAGAGCACCAAGAAACTGACAGGACTTTCTCTTGCCTTCTTTTTCTCTGTGTGCATCTCTCAGGGGAGCGATTGCCTAAGCCGGAGCGGGGAAAGATGAGAGTGCACAAAATCAACAATGTGAACAAAGCGCTGGACTTTATCGCCAGCAAAGGAGTCAAGCTGGTCTCCATCGGAGCGGAAGGTGAGCTCGTGATGGGGCAGCCAGGGGTCTAGCTCATTTCTCGACCATCAGGCTCAGAGGCATGACACCAACATTCTGAAAGAAGAATTTTTGGTGGCAGTGTACTTGAGGCACTTTAAGCCCCAGTAAATATTCAGCAGTGACCACAATGACATCCCTTGATATGACGCTGGGCCTACAAGCGCCTCCCATACTGCAGAATAATCCCCTCAGGTGCCACCCAGGTCTGGGAATATGATGCACCCTGGCCATGCAGGGCGGACTTCTGGTGATTCTTCTGGGGCAGCATGGCTTTGAGTTGGACCCTGAATGCCCTCACTCTGCCTTCCTTGTGCTGGGCCCTGTGAGATGCTGGTGGATGCATGACATGTCTCTCTCTGTGCTGGGAGCAGCTTTGTCATTATGCCCTGCCTGCTGTCTGCAGGGAGGAGAGAATATGCAGGAATGAAGGGGGTGGAGGCTCAGCATTAGGACGTTGGGTCATAGTGTACAGGTTCACAGGTTCATGCCCAGACTCTGCTCTGGATCATGGGCTGGGTCAGGTTCAGCCTCTGGCCACCCAGGATCTTCCTGTGTGGGCACCCAGGACCTTCCACAGGCCTTTCCACTCAAGCAGTCAACATGCCATCCCATCAGCAGCGGGCTTGTTACAGGCTCCCCAGGGCTGAGCTCCCAGGCACTTTGGGAGATGAGGTGAGGCCTGATTGAGCCCATCAGCTCCCCATCAGCTCATTAGTCAGAGCAGAGTGTCATACATCCCGACATCCATATTGTCCCAGCTTTTAGAAAAACAAGGAAAATTAATTGCCGTTAATGACAGGGCTCTGAGATGGTAGCCAAGACTCCCAGCCAGAATATGTGTCCCAAGTTGCAAGGTTCTGCCCCAGTGGGACCTCTCTGAGGTGGCTGCCAAGCCTTGCATGACATGGTCGAGGTGGTTGGTGTTTGTGGTGTCTGCTCAGGCCCTGAGATATTCTGTCCTTGCATGCATCTTTCCTCCTGCCTTCTGCTTCTCACAACTCCTTTTACTTTGCCCAAATGCTGGTCTGTAAGTGGAGAGAGGAAGGTAGAGAAGAGACCCATGGCAGTCCTCAGTTTTCATTTGAAGAAAAACTTGGTCTGAAAGTGTGCTCATGCCCAAATTGGTTCACTTCCATTCACATTGGCCATCGAGTCTCAGTACAAAGCTAGAGGAAGACAGCGTGCTGGGCTATTTCCCAGTAGGCTGTGGGGTTGAAACACCTGAGAATCCCACCCTCTACCCCTAACCCCTCCAGTGGGGCTGTGACAGTGGGCAGGTGGCGGAAACAGGGCTGCAGGTCAGAGAAGCAGCTGGTGATGGGTGTGTCATGAGAAAAGCTGTCCTCCCGCCCTTCCCGTGACCAGCTTGCACTTGCAGCTGGCTGGGCGTGAGAATGGTGGCCTCCCCTCTGGAGTGCCTGGCACTTACGAGGCATGCAGCACGGAATTCCTGACTGAGGAGGTGCCTACACCCACAGTGTGGGCGCTACCTGTTTCCTGGTTGTGGAGTTCTTCACCCTGAGGTGTGTCCCTCCCCTTGCCTCTGGGCAGCAGACTAGACGTATTTCCTCCTGAGACTTTAAAACCGAAGTTGCCCTCAGCCACAGGCCTATGGAGAGCATCTCTATCATGGCTGCTAGAACCCCTCCAGTCCTCTTGGTTGAGTCTCTAGGAAAAGGAGACCCCATCCTGAGGCACCTCCTATCCGCAGCAAGCCCACCCTAGAGTTTTCAGTTCTTGACAGTCAGTGAACAAGATCTTCTGCAGATTCCTCCCCGCCTTCACCCACTCCTCAGTGCCCTCTGGAACTGGCCCCTGTGTTCTCCAGCACCCAGCTCGGGGGGGCCCCAGCGGGGCGTTCACTGGCTCTGCCCATTTCCACCCTTCTTCTTAGGAAGCCATCCTGCCACCTCCCTGCCTCTGCCGGGTTAAGCTGTGAGAGCAGAGGCTCTCAGAGGACTTCCCGAGGCGTGTCTGTCTGAAGCACTATGGGACAAGGCTGCTCACACTTCATTTGCAGCCACGTCTGCCCTGAGTGTTGCAAAGATGGTTTTTCTCCAAGTTGCTGAAGCTGAAGAATGTGTAGCCTAGACCGTTCCCTGTCACTCCCGGAAGTTTGAATGAAGGATTATTGTTAGGTTTAGACAGCCTGCAGCCTGTTGGCCTGGCTCTGTGTCTCTGCTTGCCCCTTCCTTCTATAACGTCGTGTATTTTCCAGGTTCATGATGAACAGCACAGCCCCTACTCTCAGGGAAGGTGAATAGTAAACAGACCAACAGATACAGGATTACAGATGGTGACCGTGTGAGGGGAGGAGCAGGGTCCTGAGGGAGAGAGGAACTGGGTTGGGGTGAGGGGCTCCTTTTGGTTGGTGGTTAGGGAAGTCATTTCTGAGAGTGACATAGTAGCAGAAGCTTGTGGGATGAGAAGCTACTAGCCTAGAGGAGAGAAGGGAGAGCTTTCTGGATGGAGAGAAGGGATAAGGGCCTGAAAGCAGGAAAGATCTTGGTGTGTTTGGGAAACTGAAAGGAGCTGGCCAGAGAAGCTGGGGAGTGGAGGACCAGGCCCCCAAGGGCAGGCCTTGTGGACTAGGCTAAGGACATGGGCTTCATTTTAGGTGTCGTGGAGCTTCACACAGGGGAGTGACACCAATCTATACCTTTTTAAAGAGCTCCCTGGCTGCTGTGCAGAGAGTGGATTGCAGGAGATTCGACAGGAGCTGCATTGAGCCCCAGGAAAGGTGGCAGTGACGCTTGGACAAGGGTGGCCGGCAGTGGGGTTGGAAGGAAGTGGGCACAGACTTGACGAACAGTATCGTAGCCCTTACTTACTGACTGACGGAGCGTGTCCACTAGTCAGGGAGACACTCCTGAGGGTGTAATTGTAGCCAGTGTGGCGAGTGCTGCAGTGCAGATGTGAACAGGGGGCGGGAATGCAGGCCGAATGCTGAGGACCAGAGTTCATGGAGGAGCAGCCTTTTGAGTTGGGTCTTAAAGAATGAGCTGGGAGTTGGGCGGGCTACGTGGCAGAGGAAACAAATCCATGTCCACCAGCCTGTAGGCATCCAGCATCAGGCTGTTTTGGAGCAGTTCTGTCCAAAGACTGTTCAGGGGGACCTGGCTGCCTTTTGTCCCAGGGATGGTGGTGGAGGACAGGTGATTGGAGCTGGTCTCTGGATGGAAGCAGAGGCTGCCTTTGAGAGACAGAGGAGTCTCACTCTGGTTTTAACCTTCTCACTATCTGCCCTTGCCCCCACCCTGCATGCAGAGATTGTGGACGGCAATGCGAAGATGACGCTGGGCATGATCTGGACGATCATTCTCAGGTTCGCCATCCAGGACATCTCCGTGGAAGGTGAGAGCTGAGACCCCGTGAACCGGTGAAGAACCATCTGTTCTCCACACTCACCTGAGTTGGGGGGAGAGGGATTGGAATTTCTGAAGTGTTGTCTGTAGGTGACTATCCACTTCTAATTCTCTTTTGCCTTGGTGTCACTCACAGGGACTGAAGTAGTTAGTGGGTAGCTGCAGGCCCAGAACTGCAGGTGAAGAGGAGATCCTGCCATCTGTCACCTCCACCACGGCCTTTGTAGCCTCCTAGCCCTGGTAGCCAGTTTGTTCTCCTGGCCTCCATCTCACTGGAGCCTTGCACCCCCCATGGGAATTGGCAGGCAGCATTTACCTCATTTCATGGTCGAGAGACCTGAGTCACAGAGGAGGAATTCAGTAGCTCAGAGTCACTCAGCAACTAGTGAGAGTCGGGCCTGGGTCTGCTGTTTCATCTGTCCACCAGATGCCCCCTCTCAACCTCAGCCTTCATGGTCTGCCGTCAGCTCAGGGTATCCAGGAATGAGCCACTTTACTTCCTTCGAAGCTCCGATATGCACCACAGGGTGAGAAGAACCCCCGGCCCAGTCTGTGGAGAGGCTCTGGGACACTCAGTCTATCAGGGATAGCCAGAGGCCAGGGGGAGCAGATTGTTGGGCCAGCTCTGTAGGGCACAGAATGACCTGTGAGGCCTCTCCCCTCCACTGACCTCCCTTGAGGATAGGGCCAGATCTGAGTGACTAGACAGGGCCTAGTACTCATGCCAATGGCTTCATTGTCATCTTGTTCAGAGAGGCAGAGACCGGTGTCAGGAGCTTGTGAGATAGTGTGTTCTATGGTGAGAGGCACAGGCTTTGTCATCAGGAACACGGCACAGGTTCATGACACTGCTATCCACTGGGGTGATGACTCTGGACAGGTGACCTCTTAGGAATCCCAAACCAGCCTTGGGCTGTGCAGTTCCATTTGGCAGTTAGGATCAGCGGAGGTCTGTCCGTCTCCAGTAGGATAGTGGCTGTGGTCACTCCTGTCGTTGCTGCTGCTCTTGTCATATATGGTGTTCTCTCCTGTTGGGTTTTGTTTGACCCCCAGAAAGTATGGTCCAACGTGGGACAAGGTCTGAAGGTTTCATTTTGAGCCAGTGCTCACTATCCTTGTACGTTTTACAGAGACTTCTGCAAAGGAAGGGCTCCTTCTCTGGTGCCAGAGGAAGACAGCTCCGTACAAGAATGTCAACGTGCAGAACTTCCACATCAGGTGAGTGCCTGGCACTGCCCCTGATCCCGTCTTACTCCCTCGCTGCTTCCCAAGAATTGAGACGCTCTCCTCCTACCTGCCGTCTTCCTCTGTGATTGTCCTCATCTGTGAGATGCCAGCCCTCAGTGAGGCCTTCCTCTGCCACTGGCCTCTGTGAGCCTTGGAAGGTCTCCTGGTCCTCTCCAAGGAAGAGGAAGAGGCAGTTGCCTCGCTGTCCTGGGCTGAAGGCGTTAAGACCTGGCCCCCTGCAAGAGGCCTTAGAGAATCTTCCTTCTTCCCAAGCAAGGTAATTCTCAGAAGCAGCGACAAAGCTTTTCCTTTGTTTTGATTTCTCAAGATGAACTTGTCATTAGCGTTGATAGTGAATTTACTTTTGGGATTTGGTGCCTGTGGCTACAAAAATAATCTAGACTCAGCCATGCCACGAGAGCACAGTGAGCCTGCTCTCACTCAGGGTGAGAGAGGGAGGTGAGATGTGTCCAGTGACCCTATGACAAGGTGAGTGTGCTCAGTGCCACACACAGTTCAGAGTGTGGCGGAGCCAGTATGCCTGTGGTGGTCCTGCAATTTCACCCCTCTGAGCCTCTGATGTCCTCCTGGGGTGAACCATGGATGGGGCACATCTGGGAATGGAGATGAGCAGAGCCTGGGATCCACAGAACTCCTGCTATGTCTGTGGGCTCTCTGGGACCATGGCACCAGTTGCTGCTGTCCAAAGCACATGGTTCCTCCCTTTATCTTTATTTCCTCTCCTTTTCCTGCCACCAACTGGCTGATCCTTCTGCACGACTCATTCATTTATTTAGTCAGTTTAGGAAATCTCGAATGGCGTGACTACTGTGCTCCGCCAATGGGAACACAGCAGCACCAAAACAACATTGCTACTCTTGGGAAATGTATACTATAGCAGAGGGTCCAACACTTCACAGAAGTGCAGATAAGCCAGTAAGATACTTCCAGACATGAGAAGTGCTCTACACAAACAACAAAATAGGGTGAAGTGATAGGAAATAGCTGGGGAGAAGGAGCGGGCACTTTAGCCAGTACCTTAGTCAGGGATGGCCTTTGAATTGACACCAGAAGGAACCAGCCCCTTAGGATTCCAGGGAGGAGAATGTAACCAGCTTATGACCAGCCATCATTTCCTTATGAGACCCTCATGCCAAGCCACAACCATGTCCAGTCCGTGGTCGGGCCCTCTATGGGTCAGGTCAGCCAAGGTACAGTTTCTGCAGTGGGCCATATCCTCCACCTTTGATCTGTCTATTGCAGCAGGGCCTCAGTGTGCGGTGCACATAGTGAGCACTTGTAATGCATTTAACACACATTAGTCGTGGCCGAAGTGTTGACATTGTCACTCTTTTAACCCCCATAGCAACACTTATCAGGTAGGGACTGTTTTTACCCCCACTTTATAGATACAGAAACTGAGATACCAGGAGATTCAGATATTTGCTCTAGATCACACTGACAGTGGGGGAGCCAGATGTTGACATCAGGCTGTGTGGCTCCAGAGCACATACTCATTACCACTCTGCCCTATCTGTAGTGCCCAGCAGGCACCAACCTCCAAGAAAAGGCAGCTGACTATTACTGTGGATGTTCAGGGCCACTTCACGCTCCCATGATGGTGAATGTGCCTGCCTAATAACACTTTACTTTTCCATCCCTAGTTGGAAGGATGGTCTTGCCTTCAACGCCCTGATCCACCGGCATAGACCAGAGCTGATTGAGTATGACAAGCTGAGAAAGGTATGTGTCTTGAGCACCCCTTGATGGCCCACAGACACCCTGCGTTTGATGCCCTAACTCAGTCACCTCGCCCAAACCCATCCGTCAGCAGCTTCCAAAACTAGACTGATTCTGTGCTCAGATAGGCAGGCTAGGAGAGCCCGTGCCTGCTTCTCCCAGACCACAGGCCCTGCAGCAGATTTTCTCCCCCCTTGCTCCCCTTGGTGACTGACCTCTTCTTCCTCCACGGGCATTGCAACCAGCTGTGGTTAGTTTAGGCCTGACCAGCCCTGCCTTCCAATTCCTTAACCTCCCACTGTTCCTTAACCTTCTGGATTCTGGAGGCAAGTCCCTCTCTGCCCAAGCTGGTGGAAGAGTTCTAAACCATTGCCATCAGCAAGCACCTCCTGTGCAAAGTCTGTCTGATTTGTGTGTAAGGCCCAGTCCTGCCGTATGGTGGGAAGGGATGGGACAGTTGTGTATGGTAGAGTAGGAGATGGGTCACAGATTCTTCAAGGGAGGACGGAGCACCCTGAGCTGGCATGGCCAGGGACAGGCCTCTGGAAGAGGAGGCCACCCAGAGCCAGACAGCAGGCATCTGGGTGGGGCATGAAGCCTGCACATGGGGCTCTCGCCAGAGCTCAGGGTACAGTGGGGAGCCAGTGAGGACCTGGGTTAAGGGGACACATGAAGGATCCTCGAGGGTATGGGAACACAGGGCAGTGGTTTGCTGTCCTCCACGTCCCACACTCCCATTGTCCTATCAGGTTTTGACCACACTTCCTGGTGGAGATGAGGACTCAGGATTTAGGGCAGGGGTCTTGATCTTGGGTCTTAGATGGCTGGACGTTGTAAGATTTAGCTGTAGCATACCTAGATTTTTCCAGAGCCAATGTCCACAGTTCACCCCACGAGGATATCAAGAGGCACACCTTTGGGTAGGAGTTCGATTTGACCAGGTTATCCCCTCCTCCTCACAGCAGTACAGGTGGCTAAGAATGGCCTACAGATCTTTCCAGTCCTAATCCACCCTCAGTTCCCTCCCTTCCAGACCAGTCCTTGTTCCCCTTCAGCTTCTGCATCCTGCCCCTGACAGAGTTCTTCCTACTTCTCTTCCACAGGACGACCCTGTCACCAACCTGAACAATGCCTTTGAAGTGGCTGAGAAGTACCTCGATATCCCCAAGATGTTGGATGCAGAGGGTAAGTGCTTCTCTTTTGTTCAGTCAACACCATGTTTCCTGGGCTCTTCATCTGTCCCACCCTGGGTTTGGGCAAGTGCCCATGGGCACAAAAGAGCTTTGGGGTTGCCTTGAAGAGCTGGCAGGGCCAGGAAGAAGGACTGTGTTAATTTGGCTGAAGCAGGGATGACAGTGCTCCCTGGAGCTGGAGCAGGATCAGCCTGAGTAGGCCTGACATGGTCAAAGGTGGAGGAAGGTGGGGAAGGGAGACCTTGAAGATCAGCTCTCTGGGGGGTGCATCTTGGGGCCAGGGCCCAGGGCCTTGCCAGACCCCTGCCTGACTGGGTCCCATCTCTCCCTCAGGCAGGGGTGAGATGGTCAAGGAGGGCTGGCTCTAGGCTTCCTGTGAATCACCATGGGCCTCTCCCCTCCCTGCCTGCAGCAGGCTCAGAGTCTGGAGCCCACCAGAGTGGAGTGGTTTGTTTTTTCCTGTTCCGGCTTTGCTCCATTTCCCAGCCATGCACCACTCCCAGGCAAGGTTGATGCCTCTGGCCTCTGGTGGCCCTTGGAATTGACTGTCCAGAAGCCCCTGGAGGCCAGTCTCAGAGAGAGGAAGTGGCCTTATCTTAATCCAGTTCTCACAGCCTTGGCCTTTCTAGAAACCATAGGAGAGGGCAGGGCTGAAGGTGTGGCTCAGCCCACCCAGGTTACCATGTGTCCCCTGAACCAGCTCTGAGGGTCCTTCTTCTGGGAAGATTGGCTTTAGGAGTCTGTGGATCCTTGTGAGTGGCCCCCACCCACTCCCACTCCGGGCGGATTAACCCTTGTCGTTCACTTGCAGACATCGTGAACACGGCCCGGCCCGACGAGAAGGCCATTATGACCTATGTGTCCAGCTTCTACCATGCCTTTTCGGGAGCGCAGAAGGTACCGGGCAAGGCCAGGCAGGCCCACCTTGCCGCCACTGCCCAATGCCGCTGCTGCCTCTCGCCTCCCATGCTCACTTCATTTCTCTTGCAGACGGCAGTGGCCTCTCTCCGACTGGAAGCCACTCCCCGACTCCATGGTGTTCTGCCCATTTAGTCTTTGCTCATAATTCACAAAGTCTGTTGGGTACTCATCTCAGCCCAGCCCTGTGCCAGGCAATGAGGTTGCATTAGTGGCGGGTTGGCAAGGTCTCTACTCTCACGGAGCTTAGGTTCTACTGGGTGAGGTGGATGACAGTCATGTCAGCAGAGAACGTGGAACAGGAAGATGGGAGAGAGGTGGGCGGGGCCATCAGGGTATACCTTCAAGGAGATGATGTGAGTAGGCCCTTGTGATGATGAGCAGGAGCTGCCAGGGAAGGTCTGCGGGAAAGGCCTTCTTGGTAAAGCAAGTGCAAAGGCCCTGAGGCAGGAATGAACATGCTTGGTTTACTCAGGAAATAGATGGAAAGGAGTAAGCGAGGAGGAGAAGGGTGAGAAGTGGAGTTGGAGAAAGTGAGGGGCCAGGCTGTGCGGGACCATTGTAGCCTGGGATAAGGGTGATGGGGGGCCGTCAGGGAGGTTCTGTGCTAATGTGGCAGGTGGTGGTGTATGACATAATCTTACATTTTCACAAAGATCACTTAGCATTTGCTCCTCTGGCCCAAAACATGGCCTTCTATATAGAGTCATTGGGTAGTCCATCACAAACCTAGGCCTGGTTCCACCAGGAATTCAACTCATTGGGACTTCCATACTTCCCTCCACAAAACCTCACCAAGACTTGCCTGCACAGGCCTGAGCGGGGTTTGGCTTCCAGTCTGGAGCAAGCGCTATTTCTCCTGCATGAGCCTAGGGCCCCGGCATCAGCCGCCCTCCCTGCCTCTTTCACTCTCTCCTGCCTCTCTCTCTCTTTCTCTCTCTCTGTGCAGATATTGTAGGTACTCTGAGGCCAGACGAGAAAGCCATCATGACTTATGTGTCCTGCTTCTACCACGCTTTCTCGGGGGCTCAAAAGGTGAGCTGGGGTGGGAGGACCCCTTGCTGCTGTAGCTGCTGACTTGTTTCACATCACCATCTCCCGTCTGTGTCTGAAGTCCCTGGCCTGGCTGCAGGCTGCTGTGGTGTGAGGAACAACCCTGTCAGGCTTCTGACTTGGAAGGGCCACCAAGGACAGGCCTGGGGTTACAGTGGGGCTTCCTGTGCTGAGACATACAAATCTCCCCCCTTTGAGTGCTCACAGCCCACCCACAGTGAGTGGGGAGTAGTGTCCCAGTTTCCTAGACAAGGAAACGGAAGCCCAGCATGACATTAACTGGCAGGCCTGGGATTCAAACTTAAGTCTGGCTTTGGAACCTGTCTTTGTGACCTCGTGTTGCTCTGCCCCTTCCCACAGAGCAGCCCCACTCTGTCTTCCCATGATTCACAGCATACTGTCTGCCTGGCGCACTGGCTTTTAGTGCCCCCCCCCCCCCGGCTCTCTTCCCTCTTAAACCCCCAGGATGAGGTCAGCATGAGCAGGTTGAGCTCCTCTTTGGAATGCACCTGCTGACCCAGGTCTCTGGGCCCCTGCCCTCTCCAGAAGCCCTGGTGATGGTGACTCAGGCAGAGCCACCAGAAGGGTGTGTTCCCAGTAAAAGCACTCCCTGATCCCAGCTGACCTCATGTTGTTTCTCCCCTCCCCCTGCTGCTCTTGTTAGGGAGCCTCAGCTTCCGAAAGGAAGGCTCCCAGCTGCCCCTAGAGAGAGGCCCGGGACCTCTGTTCCCTCTGCTGGCGTCCTTGGCAGTGTTGCACTCCCAGTGACTTGATTTTGTGTTTGTTATCACGTGGCAAGTAGGAAGGGAGGGTAAATGAGCTCCCGTTTACTGAGCACTTACCACCTGCTAGGGCTCCTCCCGGCGTTTCCCTTACACACGCTGTGGTAGAGTCCCCGTGAACCACCCAGGGAGGGACAGAGGAGGCAAGTGAGTCCAGCAGTGCAGAGCCACTGCTCCTCTGCCCTCTGTGGGCCAGCTTCTTCAAGGCCAGGCCCAGCAGGGGCCTGCACTCTTCCCCCTCTTAGCAGTGTGACTTTGGATGAGTCATTATCTCAGTGTCCCCATCTCTGAAGTGGGTATCACACTAGTACCTATCACACAGGAGTTTTCTGAGGGTGAAATGGGCTCATCCAGGCAAAGGGCTGAGAATAGTGCCTGACGGAGACCAAATGCTTCACATGCAGAGGGTGGCTGCGAGTCACATAGGAGATGCCGGCCCTGTGCCCAGATAGACCCATGTGCCGTAGTGCTTCACACCCCTGCCCCCAGCATGCAGTTGAGTTAGTTTGCAGTGTTCAGAATGCGCAGAGGGCACAGGCATGAAGGGTGGAGGGAGGACCCCCACCCTAGAAGAAAGGTAGGGTGGAGGTGGGCAGCGCCACACACCCCAGCTGACAGCACCTTTGTGGCCCCGAGTCAGCTCCCTGCCCACCATGTTGCCCTGGCTGCACACACTCCTCCCCACACCACCCCCTGTATTTATCACCAAACCCTGATGTGGTGGAACAGACACCGAGGATTTGGTGGGAGGGGTACGCCTGGCAGGTTTTTGAGGTGACTGGACCTAGAAGGCTGGTTGCCAGGCCCCTTTGTGAGGGCAGACACCGTGACAGGCTGTAGGGTGTGGCCGGTCCATGAAGAAGGCAACTGGGGTCAGCTCGGGCCTCTCCAGCTCTGAGCCATGCCCCCACCTGTGCTTCCCAGCAACCTAATCCAGTCTTCAAAGAGTGCTCTCTGGGCCTTGTTTTGTTTCACAGCCACAGAGTGAACCCCTAGGCCTAGTGCCACGTATGCCCATTCTTCCCTCAGTGTTCAGTCTGGTCACTGAGACATTCACCTCTCACCTCTGTTTCTTTGTGCACTTACTCATTCATTCCGCAACCCTGAGTGCCTAAAAAGCACCAGCCCTATGTTGGGGTCAGGAGCTCAGCAGGGAAACTGGGGCCCTCTCCAGCTCTGACAGGTCTGCCAGCAGCGTGGATTTGAGCTTGAGCCGCGGGCACTAACCTCACTGCAACCCAGCCTGTGCTTCCTTCACTCATTTGGGGCGAGGTGTTCTTCTTCTGAGGCCCTGCTGTATCTCTCAGGGGCTCTGCCAGTGGCCCTGGTGTGTTCCTGCAGCATGACATAGAGCATGTGCTTGAATGTGTGTATAAACCTGGGCTGCCCCCTCCCCTCCACGCCTGCCCAGGACGCAGTGTGGACGGGCGAGGCTCGTGCTGCCCCCCAGCCACTCTGTTTTCCTCCCCATCACTCTGTAGACCCTCCTCACTCTTTCTGTTCCCGTTCTGTTGCTGTTCCAACTCCTCCTCTTGGACCCTTTCTGTGCTTCCTGAAAGGTACCTGATCTCTACCCTCTCACTGTGACCCTCTGCCTCCTGTTCCTCTGCATCTCGTGTTTCCCTCAGCAGGTTGAGGCAGGGCTTCTCCCCTGGGTGTGGGGCACAAACGGGGTCACTGTCTCCACCACTCCTGCTCTCTGAAGCCCTGACTCCCTTCTCCCTGTGGATTGTGGTTCTGCCCACATGAGCGCTCATTGATAGGAGGGGCCAGTGCTCTCTGCAGCTGGCCGCCCAGGCTCTACTCTGGACAGTACCAGCACCTCCCGACCTCTGTTGGTCCCCCACAAGCTCTTGGCCTCTCCTCACCCTGCTTTCCACCCAGGGGAGAGACTCTTTAAAATCTTGGCCTAATGCAGAAGACACACCAGCTCTTACCCCGCCCTCCTTGCTGGGGGCAAAGGTGGCCTGCTGATGCACTTTCTCAGCACTGCCAGGGCTTGGGCTAGCAGAGATGCCCAGCTGTCTGGGCAGGGAGTTTGTGGTGGGCTGTCAGGACCCTAGTGAGGCCTGTCGTAACACAGGCTGCTCGCTGGAGCTGTGCTTCCTCTCCTTGCCCCGCCTCTGGGGAGTTCTGTGTGGGCCATGAGTGAGCCAGCCTTCAAGGGACATGCCTGTTAGGAGGGAAGGTCTCCAACCACGGGGAGCCCTGACTTGTGCTCCCCTACCTCCAGGCTGAGACTGCTGCCAACCGGATCTGCAAGGTTTTGGCTGTCAATCAGGAGAATGAACACCTGATGGAAGATTATGAGAGGCTGGCCAGCGATGTAAGTGTCTCACTGCCCCCCAGTGGCCCTGCCAGAGCTGAAAACTTGGGTCACCTCTTTGTTACCTTTGGCTAAAGGCCACTGTGACACATGCAGAGAGCAGGGACGACAGCGAGAGTTTGAAGAAAAGGTTGTGAGGTCACGAGACTGTGGAGTTGGGCCATCCAGTGGGTGACTTTGAGGCTGATTTCACAAGGCTAAGGGTCAGACCAGGAGCTCTGGTGCCCCAGTGGTTAAAGATTCAACTGCTAACTAAAAGGTTGGTGGTTTGAACCCATCAGCTACTCCACGGGAAAAAGATGAGACAATCTGCTTTTGTAAAGATTTACAGCCTTGGAAACCCAACGGGGCAGTTCTCCTCTGTCCTGTAGGGTCGTGAGGACTGGAATCGACTCGATGGCAACGGGTTTGGGTTTTTTTGGAAGGGTCAGACGATGAGTCACCATGCTAGCTAATTCCTAGGATCTTGAGCTTGGGTTCTTAATCAAGGACAGCTTGAGTACCCCATTGCTTTAGAATCATCTGGGGAGCTTTATGAAAATTCACATTCCTGGGCCCTGTCCCTGGAGAGACTAATCCAGTGGGGTAGAGAAGGCATTGAGAACTGACGGGCAGCCGTGGCCCATAGTTTGTCATAGTGGGCTCTGTACCAGGCACTTCACAGGCAGGGTCTGCTCAGTCTCACAACATTGCTGTAAGGGGAATGTGTCTCAGCCCCATTTTGCTAGTGAGTAGAGGGCAAGGAAGGAGCTCTGGTGGCATAGCAGAATGCATTTGGCTGCTAACCAGAAGGTCAGTGGTTCAAACCCACCAGCCGCACCACAGAAGGAAGATGGGGTGATCTACTTCCGTAAAGATTGACAGTCTTGGAAACCCAATAGAGGTCACTATGAGTTGGAATCAACTCAGTGGCAGTGAGTTTGTTTGGTTAGAGAGGGTAAGGCACATGTTCCCATCGTGGCTGGTGGGGTGGAGAGCCGGGAATCAAGCCAGGTGGTTCCACTCCTAAGCCTGAACCCAGAACTTCAGTTGGGGACATGGGTGATCTCTTCCAGAGTTCTCCTGTGTTTTCAAAATTTTTGTATTTAAAAGATAAAAACCATTTGCATGCCTAAGAGGAATAGTTTGAAAACTATTCATGTAGACTAGTGGCTCCCAGACTTTTGAGATTTCATGGACCAGGAAAATTTGAGCAAGAATTTAGCAGCTAACCAAGGGTTGCCAACTTTTCATTTTGCCAAGTTAAGGATATTAAAAAAAAAGAAGCTATTGCCTATTGCTACCATTGTTTGTAACACCAAACAAAGAGAGAGGGCTGGTTCTTAGAGTCCCAGGCCTTCCCAAGAAGGGACAGTCGGAACACACATCTTAGGCACACATGGGTTCCTTTGTCTTGGATTTCCTCATTTTGCCAGAGGTTGGCATCTGTGAGCCACCTCTGACCTGTCAGTGCTGGAAAATAGCAGACTTCACCTTCCTGGATTGTACAGACCATCTAGGCTATTTGCTTGTTCGTACCTGCCTTATTGCATCAGAAGGAGCTCTGGTGGCACAGTGGTTAAGGCATTTGTCTGCTAACCAAAAGGTTGGCAATTCAAACCCATCATCCACTTTGAGGGAGAAAGATGTGGCAGTCTGCTTCTGTAAAGATTTACAGCCTTGCAAACAGTATGGGTGATTCTGCTCTGTCCTATAGAGTCTCTATGAGCCAGAATCAACTCAATGGCTGTGGGTTTTTTTTTTTTTTTTTTCCCCTCCATCAGAGATTGGAGGTGCTTATAAAAACGTGTATTAATTTCTTTGTCAATGTGTTTTTCTAATATTTTACATCTCAGGCCCTGCGCAGGGTGCTGGCCATCCCAGAGTGAACCAGGCATTTGTGCTGGTCCTTGCCCTTAGATGGGCATTCACAGCCAGTGAGCAAGGAAACAAGACCAGATTGCCTGCTGCTGCTGGGCTCAGCGCAGGTGGCGGCAACTGGTCCTATGACAGCGAGTGGTGGGGGAGGCCTTCCAGGGAGGGGCAATTGAGTTGAGGCAGCCCTTCTAAGAGGTCAGGAGAAGGACCACCAAGAGCAGAGGCACAAAGGAAGTGATCAGAGAGCAGCACAGTGGTTCCCAGCGCTCCCTGCTGAGGCCCCAGTGGGAGGCAGGGAGCAGTGGGGTGGAGCATATAGGCCATCTCTGGCGGGGGGTGGCTCTCGGGGGCTCCCTGCAATGGCCACCATGGTGTCTTGTGGGCCTGCAGCTCCTAGAGTGGATCCGGCGCACCATCCCCTGGCTGGAGGACCGTGTGCCCCAGAAGACCATCCAGGAAATGCAGCAGAAGCTGGAGGACTTCCGTGACTACCGGCGCGTCCACAAGCCGCCCAAGGTGCAGGAGAAGTGCCAGCTGGAGATCAACTTCAACACACTGCAGACCAAGCTGCGCCTCAGCAACCGGCCCGCCTTCATGCCCTCCGAGGGCCGCATGGTCTCGGTGAGGACCCGGCCCCGGAGCGGCCCGCAGGCCTGCTCTTTTGGCCCCACAGTCTGTCTTTTCTGTTGTTTTTATTGTGAAAAACGTACACAGCAAAACCTATGAGAGCCAGAACCCGTATAAGGTGGAAACCTGCCAAAGAAGGAATACGCAAATATTTTTTCTACTAAAGTGAGCACTAGAAAAGTGAGACTGCAGAAACCTTTTGAGGTGCAGAAAAACAAGGCAGTCACGTCAGGTGCCAGCTCTCCCAGGTTTCTCTGTGTGATAGGACATGCCAGTTTCACCATGTGTATGTCTGTTGTCAGTGACGTGAGTGCATTCACCACATGGTGCATCCTCACCACAGTCTTTTCTCAAAAGCTTTTTGTCTCCCCACGCAGAACTCAGTGCATGCGCTCCCGTCACCCGGCCCCTTGCAGCCACCAGTTAACTTCTGTCTCTGTGTGGTTGCCTGTTCTAAGTGTTTCACAGACTGGAGTCCTACAAATCCAGTGTTTGCCCTGTAGAGTCTGATTTACTTAACTCAGTGCAGTCAGGGCTCCTCTGTGCTGTGGCAGTAGTACTTGATTTCTCTTGAAAGTTGAGTAGCAGGCTGTTGTGTGTATCAACCACATTGTGTTTTATTCATTCGATTCATTTGTGAGCAGTCTGTCTTCATTAGAATGCACAGCTTTTGAGGCACAGGGTCGGTGCACTTGTCACCTCCGCCCTTCCCTGTAGTTTTACACCCAAGTTCATACCCACCCCCTTCTCTAACTTACTGTTGAAGCTTGCAACACCAGTCTGCCATGACTCCAGGACCACCAAGTGTTGGTCTCTTTCCTGAAAGAGGTATGCCGTGCCTGGCACAGTCACCTTCTGGCTCTCATCAGCATTCATTCATTCATTTACCCACTCATTCAATCCAAAAGAACTGATACATCTGCTGTGTGCTTAGATATAGCAAAGGGTGCAGGAATATAGCAAAGGAGGGGATAGATGTGGCCCCAGCCGGTATCAGCTGCCTTTCCTTCAGCATCCCTCATGGGGTTCTCCCTTCTGAGTGTCTGGCCCCCCATGACAGCCCTGCCCTTTCACTGCCCACATAGGACATCAACAATGGCTGGCAGCACCTGGAGCAGGCTGAGAAGGGTTATGAGGAGTGGCTGCTGAATGAGATTCGCAGGCTGGAGCGTCTTGATCACCTGGCGGAGAAGTTCCGGCAGAAGGCCTCCATCCATGAGGCCTGGACTGACGGTAGGGTGCTCCCTGCCCTCTCTCACTCTCTCTCTCTCTCTCTCTCTCACACACACACACATGCAGAGCACCTGTTTTGCACTGGACCCTCCTTCCTGCTTTGCAGGGACTTGAGTGTGGGAAGTGCTACCTTGGATTCATTTATCCACAGGCACTGAGGGATACTTCGGGGCTGGGCCCTCCTTGCCCAGTGCACTTGGCCTCCACTAGAGTCATCAGAGGTCAGTCATCAGCACCACAGCTGGCCTCTGGCCCAGCCTTTTAGGGGAGTGACCCCTGGCCATGTCCACTTTGCCCTGCCTCCCCTGGGAATGGTTCCCCAGGTGTGTGGGGCATCCTGTGTCTGCTCCTCTCTCCACACCCTTTGTGATTGGAGTCCTCTGCTTGCTGAGGAGCCCATCCCAGACGGCTCCATGTTCACAACGTTTGTGACAAGCAAGGCCAGGGAGCTTCGTCTGCCACACTTGGTGCTGTAACCTCTGGGTGCACTTTCTTGCTGTCCAGCCCCAGCCCAGAGCCGTCTCGTAGGGGCCTTGCCCTCTCTGGAAGATGACTTCTCCCAAAAGGGCAGCTCTGACTTTTGTTTCTCAGAAGCTCTGCAGCTGCCTGTCCCTTTGGCTTGGGATGCGGAATTCCATCACATCCCTGGCCCTCAGTCTGGTCCCACACCATGCTTAGATCCCAGATCCCAGGGCCTGAGAGCCCTTGGAAAACTGCTGTGCCTGGGAGAGCCCAGAGAGGCACCCGCAGGAGCCCTCCCTCCCTGTCGGACCACCTCCTTCCAGCTGTGTCTCCTGCCCCCCCCAACTCTGCCCACTGATTTCACACTTCTTGGGTTGTGCAGTGTGTTTCTTGTCTTTCCCACCCCTCCCCCCCATGAGAGCCTCACTGAGCCTCCAGGGCCTCCACTAGCCCCCTTACACCCAGCTGTTCTCTGGCCAGATGCTGCGGCCCCCTACCCAGAGGCCCCTGTGTGGGGGCCTCCATCCCTGTCTCTGGTGCAACCTCATACCCTCCTTGCATAAGCAGATGGCACAGCTCGGTTGTCCTGTAGCAGCACTGCCAGCTGCGGGGCAGTGCCCTGATCCCTCCTGGGCCAGGGGAAGCGTGTGATGGGGAGGGCACAGGAAGGATCAGGTCGGGCCAGGGCCTCAGGCACTTACCTCCCTCAGGCCTTGTAGAAACGACATCTGTGTGTTCTGCCTCCTCTAACCTCTGAAGAGGGGGTGTTGTCTATGTTGCTATCTTGGGGGAGAACCATTTAGTTCTTGTGCTCATTCATTCAATCAGCAAACATCTTTGTGCCTGGCCCTGTGCACAGTAGTTTCTCAAATAGACAAGGTCTGGGCCCGGGGGCTTATGGTCTAGCAGACTGTTCCATCCCTCTTGGTTAAGGGCACTAACTGTATTTCACAGAATTGTTCACCTGTGTTGTCTGCAGTCTCCTCCTCTCAGCAGTCATGAGTCACATTTCAGTCCTTCACACCTCTTGCGAATTTCCCTTCTGAGGCCCATCATGGCCTATGCTGGCCTCTTGGTAGTCCTCCCCGAGGGCCCATGAGGCCCTGGGAGGGTGGTTTCCTGAGGCTGAGGGGTGTAGGCATAATCGCCCACCAGAGCACCTTCCCTGGGAATGACTCCCAGGGCTGGCCTCTGCTTGAATATGTTCCAAGTCGGGTCAGTCTTGGGCCAAGTCATGACTGGCTCAGTGGTCTCCACATATCCTGCCACACCCCTGCCCTACCCAGCGTCTGCCTCCCTGCAGGTGCTCTGGCATCTTGCCCCATGCCTCTCATCTACATGGAACCCCCAGGCAGTCCCGCCCACTCTCATGCCCAAGGCCTGGACCCTCTGTCCTTGGGGCCACCCAATTTTGCAGTACTGGAAGAGACCCTGGGCTGGGCCATGCACTCCCTCCCGGCTCCTCTGTACCCTGGGGTTCTTGGCCCTTGCTAGAGGGTCAGCTTGAGTCACCATCGCTGTGTCCCCTCTTCCTCCTCCTCCTTCTCACAGCCTACAAGGTGAGGGTTCGTGTGGATGCTTCTCAGAGGGACTTGCACTGTCTGGGGGTAAAAAAGCAAAAGCAAATGAGACCCCTATCCAATCTCTGGCTGCCATTTGGCTTAATCCAAGCAGCTGTGGGCCATGGCCCACTCCAGGTTCCTCCTGGCTCCCTCGCTGAAGTATTGCCAAGGCCGAGAGGGTAGTAATCTACTATTTCTGGTTCCCACCCTTGGGAGAGAGCAATTTGGAGAGGGGAATTGCAAGCCTGCTTTGTGGTTAAGCCTCCTGCCCGTGGGCTGGGGTGGCAGGGCCAAGGGAGTGGATCTCCTAGACTGCCCATCTCTCACTCGCCAGTGCCAGGCCCTGTCCCAGGGGGTGGGTGCTGGTGCCAGACAGATGAGCCTGGGAGTGGCTGCTATGAGGACACACTGGCTAGGTATCCGCCCCTCTTTGCAGATGAGGAGACTGAGAGCCCTCTGACCACCTCCTCACTGCCCAGTCTGGAGGCTAACCCGGCATCTTTGCAGAGCTAGGGAGTGGGATCTCTGAGCTACTCAGCCCCTACAGAGGTAGCCCAGTGTGGTCAACTTGGAGCAGGGCCTTTAGGAGCTGTGACCCCAGCCTCTTCCCAGGCTGGCGTTTTCCCCTTGGGGTCTCGGCCATCCCCTGACTTGCTTGTGGGGCTTCCTTGAGCTCTTGTCCTGGTGTATGTAATTAGTAGGCTCCAGAACTAATAACAGTGTTCCTTCCAAAGGCCTGGCAAACGCGCCCTGCCCCACTGCATACACAAAGCCTAGAACCGGGTGTGGTGCACAGATGGCTGGCTGATAGGTCCACCACCCAGAGGGAGCCTCGCCCTAAGAATCAAGATGCAGACATAGGGCCAGGCTCCCAGAAAAACCTTGACTACAAGGTGCCCCTTCCTGGACCCTACTGAGGCATGGGTGCCAGCCTAGCTGCTTCCTGTCCACATCACCAAACTCCAGAAATGGCGTCTGACTCTCTGGCCGTGGCACCGCGATCCAGGTCTTAACAGTGTCTTCCCAATAAGGCATGCTGAGTTCAGGTGTGCAGGTTGAGTTGGGATATTTATCCCTGACCTCCCTCACTCCAAGGTGCCTCCCAGCACTGTCTAGGCCATAGCTGGGCTTAGAGATCCCTGGTGGGCAAAGAAAATGGTCCCACAAAATGTCAACCCTTGGTGGCACCATCCACAGCAGGGCAGGAAAGGGGGTCCGCCTTCCACAAGTCTGCCTCCAGCCAGACAGCCCCAAGGCTCTGGACTGCGGCAGCACTGCCCCCCCGGCTGCTATGGTCTGAATGTACCTCGCTCTTGGCCCCTACCCCAGGGAAAGAAGCCATGCTGAAGCACCGGGACTACGAGACAGCCACCCTGTCAGACATCAAAGCCCTAATCCGTAAGCATGAGGCTTTTGAGAGTGACCTGGCTGCACACCAGGACCGCGTGGAGCAGATAGCGGCCATCGCCCAGGAGCTCAAGTACGTGCAGGCTTGCAAACCCCTCCACCATCCGCTTCCTTTCCAACACTGGCCCTGAGGAGGGGTGATAGAGGCAGCCCCCAGGTCCTGCCTGCCTCAGAGCCTGGCCTGCGTCCCCAGCCACCTCCACCTCTTCCTTTCTGGTGCCTGTGAAGGGCCTGTGGGACTGTGCCTTTTGCCCAGCTGTCTTAACCCTGGATGAGCAACATAATGGGGTCTACATGCTCCTGACAGAGGAAAGGTCCTGATTCCTTGGGCTTTAAGGGTGCCTGGGGCCCTGTCTCCCCTGTCTGTGGATGGGATGGAAAGCCTGACCTGCACTGCTCCCACCCGTTCCTCCTTGGGGAGGCAGCTGCACAGTGAGCCCATTGTTCTGCCTGGCCCCTTCCGTCTCTTGCTCAGAATACACTTATTGTCAGCGCTTCCAGGCGGCTGGGTTCTCTTCCCTCCCTTCCCCGCCCCAGTCAGATAAACTTGTGTACACAATTAGTACACTGAACCCCCAGAGCCAGTGAATGGGGCCTCAGTCCACCAGTGCAGTGGCCAGCAGCAGGGAGGGCCCTGGAGTGAGAGGCCTGGGCCATGACTTCATGGAAAATCCACAGGCCCTGGAGGAGTGGCAGCGCTCCCAAAATAGCCATTTGCTCAAAAATAGGATCCTTGGCTGGGACCACCTTTTCCACAGACACCCACACCCCACCACAGTCGTCCTGAGCCCTGCTTGTTCCTATAGGACTGGGGCTCAGCTGTGATGGCGGCGGGAGCCTGGTGCTGGCAGGGCCTGTTTCCTCCCTGAGTCATGCTCCCCACTGCCTGCTGCTGTGGGGTCCCCTGTGCTCATGAGGAGGCCGAGCCACTGTGGGGCCTCCACAGCAGTGGGAGCCAGAGCGTGTCCCCACTGGGCATGTTGGGGTTTTCCTCAGGATCCTGCAGCCTCCTCAGATCAGGGCCCTGTACCTGGGCTGCCCAGGCTGAGGATAGTAGCTGGCAGACGCAGGCACCCTCAGGATAGTGGTAAGATGAGGGCAGGTCCCCCAGTTTCCTGGGGTAGCCCCTGGAAGCTAGTAGGAAGCAGACTTGGAACAAATTCTAGGCCAGCCTCCTCGTCAAGCACACATGAAACCCATTAGCCTGAGCTGGGGAGTAGGCGGTCACTCAAAAACTCCCTGGACAGTGGCCCTGGAAGGAAGCAGTGGGGGCCTTTGGGGTGCTCTCCGTTCCGCTGAGGGGGAATCTGAGGACCATGGCACCCAGGACCAGTGTGCTTCTGGCTGATCCTTGGTGATGATGAAAACCCCAGAGCACTCAGTGCTCTACATGTGCCAACTCACACCCCCCCTGCCAGCCCATGTCCAGGGGGCATCTGAGGCACGGAGAGGCCAAGGAGTTTGCCCAGGCTCACACAGCAAGGGACTGGTTGAGACAGGCATTGAGCCCAGGCCTGTGGCCCCACTGTGGAGCAGTCTCGCTCACCTCCCCCAGCCCTGCCTGCTCTCCTTGTGTTCATGGCTGCATTGTGTTCAGCAAGCAGTGGCCACCTGACCTCTAACGCCTATTCCTCCCCAATGGTGCTTCCTGCTCCCCACCCCTGAGGTTCCTTCTCATACTGTGACTTTACGGCCCTGGTGCTAAGAGATGGGGATCCTGGGACTGGTGACAGGAGTGGAAGGGGCAGGGGCTGCGTCGATAGAGGTGGGGACCAGGAACAGTGATAAACCTGTACCAACCACTCTGAGTGGTGCCAGTGGGTAGGCGTTTGACTGGTAGCCCAGAGGTTGGCAGTTCAAACCCACCCAGAGGAGTCTCAAGAGACAGGCCTGGCAATCTGCTGCTGAAAGGTCACATCCTGGATGCCCTGTGGGGCAGTTCCACTCTGCTCAGTGGGGTCGGAATCAACTTGCGTCACACACCAACAACATACTGCTGTCTGTCTGTTTTTTTTTTTCCCCCTTCTTTTTTTTTTAAATATACTATTGATTGTTTGGCATGAGGCTAGTAAGGTTTAAGCTGGCTATGTATTTTTTTCTTAGTACCCATTAAAATAAACGCACAACCTCAAGTAAGTCGCTACTGCTACTTTGACTTGCTGTATACTAAGGGCTGTAGTAAGCATTTTACCTGCTTTCATTCATTCATTTGTTCCCTGCAGTAACTCTGTCCCCATTTCACAGATGAGAAAACCGAGGTATCCAGAGTAGGAAATTCATCCACCCAGGAACAAACAGCTAAAAATGGTCGACCCAGAACTCAAGCCTAGGGCACTGGGCTCTGGAGCCCATTCTGTTCACCACTGCACTCTGCTAGGCTTTATTTAAGTTGAAAAGTAACTGTACCAGCCATGGTTCCAGGCCTACACTTGGGCCACTTAGCTCACAGGGCAGAGGGAACTGAGAGGCGTACAGAAGGAACACTGTCCTGCCTCCAGCCCCCTGGGGGTGCAATGGGCCACAGCAGGAGGGAAGACGCTGAGTGCATCCTTGAATATTCCTTGTCCCTGGGCACTGGTTGGGTGGGTGCGAACATAACCCCTGCCTGCGCCAAGCTGGGTCCTTAGACCCTTGGGTCTCATGGCTTTTGGCTCTGGCCCACAGTGAGCTGGATTACTACGACTCCCACAACGTTAACACACGGTGCCAGAAGATCTGCGACCAGTGGGATGACCTGGGCTCTCTGACGCACAGTCGCAGAGAGGCCTTGGAGGTGAGGCACCAGAGGTCCCCACAGAGCCCTGAGCCCACTGCCTTCAGGGCTGGGGAGGGCATGTGCACCCTGGAGCTCAGACCCTACCTACCCAGAGAGGACGTTTGCCCCCTTGTCCGACCCCTAACCCCCACCTCCTCCTGTTCCCTGACTGACCTTCCTTTTCTGCTGTGTCCCCCTCCTCCTAGAAAACGGAGAAGCAGCTGGAGACCATCGATCAGCTGCACCTGGAGTACGCCAAGCGGGCGGCCCCCTTCAACAACTGGATGGAGAGTGCCATGGAGGACCTGCAGGACATGTTCATCGTCCACACCATTGAGGAGATCGAGGTCTGCTCCTTCCCCCCACCTTTTCACGGGACCCCTCCGTGAGGCTAGGCGGCCCCTGTGACACATGTTTCCCCTCAGGGCCTGATCTCAGCCCATGACCAGTTCAAGTCGACCCTGCCGGATGCCGACAAGGAGCGGGAAGCCATCTTGGCCATACACAAGGAGGCCCAACGGATCGCTGAAAGCAACCACATAAAGTTGTCAGGCAGCAACCCCTATACCACCGTCACCCCCCAGATCATCAACTCCAAGTGGGAGAAGGTAGGCTGGGGCCAGGCAGGAAGGGGTTAGGGCAGGGCTGGCCCACTGGGGGCATCTCACTGATGGCACCTGGACCACATCCTCCCCAGGTGCAGCAGCTAGTGCCAAAGCGGGACCACGCCCTCCTGGAGGAGCAGACCAAGCAGCAGTCCAACGAGCACCTCCGCCGTCAGTTCGCCAGCCAGGCCAACATCATGGGGCCCTGGATCCAGACCAAGATGGAGGCAAGGCTGCCTGCCCTGCTGCTGAGCAGCCCTAGATGGGGCCGGGTATAGGAGTCCCTGCTGGGGTGGTCCCTGGGGCCGGTGGACTTGGAGGTCTGTCGGGTCTGGGTTCTTGATTCCCACCAGCTGGGAGTCTTGATCACCTTGTGAGATTAGGAGGCTCATGAGAAATATGGTGAAAATGGCAGTGTCGTCTGCAGGGCAATTGGGCTGAGGTGTCAGATGTATGTGGGTTTGAGCCTCCACTCTGCCCTTGACTCGTGCAGTTTATCTTCTGATGCTCAGTTCTCTCATCTCCAAGATGGGGAAGGAAACGGCTACTCTGCCCAGTCCTTCAGACACCTTTTTGTGCACCGGTCTATGTGGTGAGCACACAGGTGTTGCTGTGAACAGGGAGGGCAGGGCCCCCAGTGAGCTCGCACTTCATCATGTCACTCCGTCACAGTGCCGAAAGTAACTGTCCACCACTTCGTGAGTGTTTACTGCACACCAGGCACTGTGCTGACCGGGAACGGGCTCGTTTAAACTCACAACAGCCTGTGAGCAGGATTGTAGTGGGTAGGTCAGTCCTAGGGCTTAGGGCTTGGGAGCTGAGGGTGTGGATGCTCATAGTCAGGAGCATAGGTTCTGAAGTCAGCCAGGCCTGGGCTCAAATCCCAACTGCCTCTGACTGTGACAAGTTGCCTTCTCTGGGCCTCAGTTTCCACATCTACAATCACATCGAACAGGGCATGGCCTCACAAGGTGCCTGCCTCTGGGGCATGTGATGAATGCACTTGGCCTAGAAAGGCACTCTGTCATGGCTGCTTTCACCACTAGGGGGCAGCACTAGAGGGAACAGCCAAGAGTAGCAGGCCTTCTGGGTGGGGGGAACCATGTGGGCCAAGGCCTCAGTCAAGAGAGCACCCTGGCAGGGGGCTGGAATGACCTAGAGGCCACCGCCAGTGGCTGGTTGAGGCAGGGGCCTTCGCCCCCCCCCCCCCCCCCCCCCGGCGGCACCACCCTCTGCAGGAAATCGGACGCATCTCCATTGAGATGAATGGCACCCTGGAGGACCAGCTGAACCACCTCAAGCAGTACGAGCGCAGCATCGTGGACTACAAGCCTAACCAGGACCTGCTGGAGCAGCAGCACCAGCTCATCCAGGAGGCGCTCATCTTCGACAACAAGCACACCAACTATACCATGGAGGTACATCCGCCCGGCCCTGCTTAGCCACACAGCCCAGTGGTCTTGGTGCTGTTGTCTGCGCCATCTCCTGTGTGTCTGTCTCTGTCTAGAATGACTGAAAAGCCTCCATCAGCACACTCGCACATTTTTTATAAACCGGTTTCCCTACTGCCCTCCCATCACCTGACAGCACATCTCTCAGGACAACCCCAGCTGGGGGCAGGGACCAGACGTGGCCCCTGCTTTGGCCTCTGGTCCACCCAGTGTGTGTGGACTCCTCCAGCTTGCAGGAGCTGACTGTTCAAAGTTTTAAGAGTTTTGTGATCTAGTTGTTGTTACTATTAGCTTGGTATTGTCCTCAGTGGGAGTGTTTCCACCACGCAGATCAGCAAGTGCCACAGGACGGAGTCTCTCGGAGCTGCCTCTGTCTCCCCTGCTCCCCAACACTGTTGTTTCCCCCCTGGAGAGCCAGTTCTTGGCCATTTACCAGCATTCCCCCAGGGAATCTCCAGTTAGGTCTTGACTTGAGTGCCTGGGGTCCTGACTCCTATCCTTCCTCAGTCACTATAGTGACATGAACTTTGCTTGCTGGCCAGAGGCAGGAGGAGACAAAGTGCTCTGAGAGGAGGCCACCACCTTGTCCTTATGTAGACGAGAGGTGCAGAGGAGAACATGGGGCTGGATGGTGCTGGAGAAAGAAAGGGGCTGCAGGGGTCCAGACAGCAGCCCCCAGGGATGGACTCCAGCACAGTCCCCTGCCCCCCGAGCCCCCCCAGCCGGGGTCCCAGGGTTCCTAGTGCTTGCCAGGCCCAGTGAACAGGTGCACCTGTCTCCCCCAGCACCTCCGTGTGGGCTGGGAGCAGCTGCTCACCACCATCGCCCGCACCATCAATGAGGTGGAGAACCAGATCCTCACCCGCGATGCCAAGGGCATCAGCCAGGAGCAAATGCAGGAGTTCCGTGCATCCTTCAACCACTTCGACAAGGTGAGCAGCCCCTCCGCCTCCTTGGCATCTTCCCTCCCCAGTGTTGCCGTCGCATCTTGCCCACCTCCGTCTTTGTATCTGTCCGTTCATCACATCCCAGTGGCTGAGCAGTAGCCACAGCTCATGGGGCCTGCAGGCCCAGGGGCTGGTGGCCCAGGAGGTACAGAGGCACAGGCTTGTAGAGGCCCCCAGCACACCAGCCTGCTGAGACCCTGGGACAGACTGGGTCCTGGCACAGCCAAGGTGCAAGACTTGATCTGTGAACCAGTCCACACACATGGTTTCTCAAAGGTTCCAATTTGGCCTGGCTGCTTTAAACCCACAGTATCAGAAGCCCCTCTAAGGGCCCCAAGCCCCAGGGTTAGCCCCAGTTCCCTGTCCCTATCCCCTGCCGGTCCTGTGTATCAGCTCACCCTGCCAGCCCATGTGTGTCAGCCCCGACCTCTGTTGGTGTAAGCACCCAAGCTCGGGAAGGGACCAGCACGTCCCAAGCAAGGTGGGACACCATCCCCTTACTCCCACCCCATATCCTGAATGTGAGCAGAGGCTCCCCTCAGGCACCCCAACTCCAGGCTCCACTCTCGATCCTATTCACTTAGCTCTCTCCACTGCCCAAGCCCAGAGATGAGCAGCCTCTGACCACCCTTAGGCTGCCCCTCCTTAGGCGGCAGAAGGCTGATGAAGGGGGCTTAGCTTCAGGTGTGAATCACCCGTCCCCACCTCTACCTCACCCGTCCCTGGCCATCACCTGTCCACGTCACCCTCTAACTATGTGTTTCCCTCCCCCATGTGTCCCCCTCCCCTGCCCTCTGCATGTGGCCCCGGCCCCCTCCCTGCCGCTATCCACTGATCTGGCCTGCACACCACCCTCCCGCACACCTTCACTGGGATGGCCCCGGCAGGACCATGGCGGGGCGCTGGGGCCCGAGGAGTTCAAGGCCTGTCTCATCAGCCTGGGCTACGACGTGGAGAATGACCGTCAGGTACGCGCGCCCCTGGGCCCCGTGGACTTGGCATTAACTGCTCTTCTCTCTTTCTCTCTCCTCCTCTCTCTTTCTTTCGCCCCCACCCTCTCGCCATTCCACTCCTTTCCATTGTGTGTCCCATGTCACTGGTTCTCTTGGCCTCCTCCCTGCCCCTGTGTCTCTCTGGACACCTTCCTCCTTACCTGGTCTCTCGGAGCCTCCTCTGTCTCCCCTGCTCCCCAACACTGTCCTTGTCCCCTGCTGTGCACATGGGCGGGCCCCTGCTGCCCACGTCCTTGGAGCAGAAGCAGACAGGCAGCATGGACGCCGACGACTTCAGGGCTCTGCTTATCTCCACAGGATACAGCCTGGTATGCCGTCCCTGCCTCCCCCGCCTCGCCACCACTCCTCCTGCCAGAGCCTCCACGTCCTTGGGGACAGTCCTTGGGGACACTCCCCACCAGGGAGGCATAGCCTGGCCCCTCCTCCTTTGCCGCACCTGCTGGGCTGGGGTCCCTCTGATGACTCCCTGCGCCCACTGCCTTTCCCAGCTCTCCGGGGAGGCTGGTCCTCCCAGCGTGCTCCCCCTGTCTCTCTGTCTCTCTCTCTCTCCCTCTCTCTCTCTCTCTCTTTCTCTCCCTCTCTCCCTCTCTTTCCCGCCCCTGCCCTCTGGAGCTCACTCTTGAGCCTTGGGAGCTAACTCTTGAGCCTTGGGCTGAGCAATAGATCTGTCTGATTCACACCCAGCTCCCCTCTTCCCAGAGGACACGAGAAGGGAGGAAGCAGAGGGGCCCTCCCCAGCCCACTGCTGGGGGTGCAGGCAGCTCTGCCAGTCAGTCAGCCCAGGAGCTGGGACAGGCGAGGCCGGCTGAAGGCCATGCAGCGTGCACTGGGTCCGGCCTGCTGTCCACCAGCCCTGGCTGCCCCATCCCACTTCCCTGTTCCCACTTCTACCTCCCAGGGCGATGCCGAGTTCAACCGCATCATGAGCGTGGTTGACCCCAACCACAGTGGCCTTGTGACCTTCCAAGCCTTCATTGACTTCATGTCCAGAGAGACCACGGACACAGACACAGCTGACCAGGTCATCGCCTCCTTCAAGGTCCTGGCAGGGGACAAGGTAAGCGAGTGCTCTGAGGCATCAGGGACAGGTCCTGGCAGCAGAAATCGAAGCCAAGATTGGGCAGGTGTGTGGGTGGGTGAGTGGCACCTCACTGTCTGGCCCTGCCGCCCCCAGAACTTCATCACAGCTGAGGAGCTGCGGCGAGAGCTCCCCCCCGACCAGGCCGAGTACTGCATCGCCCGCATGGCGCCCTACCAGGGCCCCGACGCTGTGCCCGGTGCCCTTGACTACAAGTCCTTCTCCACGGCTCTGTATGGCGAGAGCGACCTGTGAGGCCCCCGCCTGCCACAGACCCTGACCACCCCTCCTCACAGCCTCCAGGAAGGGCCCCCACCCACCACAGACCCTGACCACCCCTCCCCACAGCCTCCAGGAGGGGCTGGGGGAGCCCTGCGCCCCCCTGGGGGCCTCTGCCCGTCTCCTCTGACTATCTATGCAAAGCACTCTGTCAGTCCTTTCTGGGGCTAGGCGGGAGGCAGGGAGGGGCTGGGCAGGCTCTGTCCTCTCTCTCAGTAGGCCGGGAGGCTCTCCCCCTGCATTGGGGTGAGCAAGACAGTGGGGGCAGTGCTTCTGGTCTGGCAAATACATAGGATGAGAATTAAAAAACAACTAAGTAGAGGGGACAGGCGTC